AGTGTCATGAGAGACTATGTCTTAACTCCCTGAGGAATTACTAGGAGCGGTGCCGGGCATGGGGTCCGCACTTAGGGCCTGTCAGCTACTGTCACCATCACTATGCTTCGCCGGTTCTCAGACTGTCAGCTATTCTTCCCACTTTTTTTTTTTTTTTGCGAGGATTTTGCTAGAGGGTATGTGAGCTCACAAGAAAGAGAAACAGAGAGACAGAAAGCGAGAAATCATTCCCCGGGGGGATGGCCATGCCACAATCCCTTCATGCCACGTGCCTGGCGTAAATTTAAGCCACTGGATCTGGGACTTGAACAGCGATCGACTACATGGGAGTCCAGTGACATACTCATTAAACTATCTGCTGGTCCCCCCACTTTTTAAAAATAAATGATTCTCTTTGTATTTAATTTTGTTTCTTTTAATTTGACCAGAGAGGAACAGAGAGAGAGAGAGAGAGAGAGAAAGCAAGCTGCCAGGTCCAGGACTCGAACTTCAGTCAGCCATGTGGGAGCCCAGTGACCTTAACCACCATGCCACTTGCCGGCCCTCTCTCCCCACATTTTTTAAAGACTTATTTACTTAATTTATTATTATTATTTTTAATTTGCTGTAGGACATGTGCACTCACCAGAGAGAGACAGAGAGAGAGACACACACACACACAAAGTGAGAAAGCAAAGTCACCAGGTGCAGGAGTCGAACCATAGCTGGCCATGTGGGAGTCGAGTGCCTTAACCACCACGACACCTACTGGCCCCTCTACCCACATTTCAACATCTCTGAACCTAGAATATCCCACATCATTGATACCATCTTAGATTCAGTGCACTGAGCACAGCATGTGGTCTATGAAAAACACTCAATATTCACACAATGAAGGAATGTCTGTTATCTGTAAGAGTCTGGGTTTTTTTTTTGAGAGATTTTCACTGTAGGGCGCGTGCGCTCGCCAGACAGACAGAGAGAGACATAGAGACAGTAAGCGAGAAATCACCCCCCAGGGGGGATGGTCACGCCGCAATCCCTTCTCCTCCACTCTCCTCTCGGGATCTTGGGCATGCACGCACAGGCGCCCGGCGTGAGTTTTAAGCCACCGGGTCCGGGACACGAACCGCAGTCGACTACGTGGGAGTCCAGTGACACAGCCATTACGCTAACTGCTGGTTCCCAGAGTCTGGGGTTTTTTGTTTATTTAATTATTTATTTTATTTTATTTATTCATTCATTCATTCATTTTAATTTGATCAGAGAGAGACACAGAGACAGAGAGAGGGACAGTGAGAAAGCAAGTCCCGGACTCGAACCGTGGTCGGCCATGTGGGCCTCTCCAGTGTCTTAACCACCATGCCACCTGCTGGTTCCAAAAGCCTGTTGTTTTTTAATGAGGAGGAGGAGGGGAGGAAAGAGGGAGGGAGGGAAACAGAAAGAGAGGTAGGTATTTTGACAGGGTCTCTCCATGCTGCCATCCCCACCTCAGTTAGCCAGGCTTACAGATGTGTGCTACTCCACCGACCTATTTAGGTTGGTCCAAATCCAAGCCTGGCCCTCCCAAGAGGCCCCAGCCCCACATGCCAGTGCCCTACCTGTCACTTTGGCTAAGCCTACAGTAGTCTGTTTTCTACAGTCTCTGTAGGTAGATACCAAAAGAAATGGATTTAATTTCTCCAGTTATACACTTTTGCTACTAATGGAAATTGAAGATTTTTATTCTAAACAAAGTTTTCTCAAATGTCTAAACACATAATAACTTGCTAAAAAGTTTACTTTTCCGTGTGTTTCAAAATGTCACATGCTGAGAATCAAGAGTGAGAATTCAGGTGTGAGGTATGCACTGGGCCAGCTCCATGAAGTGGTGGTAAGGTGTTGCTCAAGAGAAGCCGAGATCCTGACTGCAGAAACAGAGAAGGGCTGTGGCATGACCATCCCCCACGGGGTACCTTCTCACTTTCTCTCTCTCCTCCTGACTAGTACATGTGTCCTGTGGCAAATTTAAAACAAAAAGAAGGTGAGAATTCAGGTGTGAGGTATGCACTGGGCCAGCTCCATGAAGTGGTGGTAAGGTGTTGCTCAAGAGAAGCCGAGATCCTGACTGCAGAAACAGAGAAGGGCTGTGGCATGACCATCCCCCACGGGGTACCTTCTCACTTTCTCTCTCTCCTCCTGACTAGTACATGTGTCCTCTGGCAAATTTAAAACAAAAAGAAAAAAAGGCAGAATACTGACTTACTGGTAAAAACATTATAAATAAACTGATACAATTTAGCGGTTATTTCACTTTCTCTATGTCATTCCCTACCCTGATACTCTACTAGACACACACACACACACAAGGATCTAAGTGAAGAATCTGTGGGAAAATCTCAATTACCTAGGCTATTTGGAATAGGGTGCTTAATAAGGATGAGGTTTGCTCATTTTTCTAGGGCCAGCCCTGAAGTGTAGAGGTTAAAGGAGTCAGAGCACACATGGCTAACAGTCTGCATCCTAGCCCAGCGGCTTCAGAAAGGGCACGTATGTGTGTGCTCAAAATCCTACGGGACAAAGAAACAGGGAAGGGATGGGGCACAACCCGCCCCCTGGGGACTGCATTCTCTCTGTGTCTCTCTGATGAGTGCACACAGCTCTGGCAATAAAAATAATTTAAAAGAAACAAAAGCTCTTGCCCATTTTTACCATTTTTTTTCCTTCTTTTTTTGGAGAGGTTTTTCCTTTAGGGCGTGTGCGCTCGCCAAACAGACAGAAAGAGACAGGGACAGAAAGTGAGAAATCACCCCCCAGGGGGGAGGGCCATGCTGCAATCCCCTCTCCTCAATTCCTCTCTTGGGATCTTGGGCACGCACGCACACGCACCTGGCGTGAGTTTTAAGCCACCAGGTCTGGGACGCGAACCATGGTCGACTCCATGGGAGTCCAGCGACATAGCCATTACGCCAACTGCTGGTCCCTTATTTATTTTTTTCTAAGAGAGATTTTTGTTGTAGGACATGTGTGCTTGCCAGAGAGACAAGAGAGAGGGGGTCAGAAAGCAAGAAATCACAGCCAGGGGGATGGTCACGCCACAGTCCCTCCTCCTCCAGTTTCCTCTCAGGATCTTGGGCACGCCCACACATGAGCCCAGCATGATTTTAAGCCACTGGGTCCAAGACTCAAACCATGGTCGACTACATGGGAGTCCAGCAACAAAACCGTTACGCCATCTACTGGTCCCAATTCTTACCATTTATCTTAAAAACATAGTCCCGACCTTAGAGTCAGTGTCTCCCGCGCTCAGCTGCCACGAGCCTTGATGTGCCATGCTTTCCTTAACCGACCTCTCTCGGGGACGCTGAGGCCACAGTGGTGGCCTAGGCTGCTCTCATTCATTTCTATTGCTATTCTCGTGCATGTGGGGTTTGTTCTCATGTACATAGTCTGTGTTTCCTGTCTCCCTCCCCACTTACTGGACTGTCACCTGTCACTCTCTGATACTGCTGGTGTGCCAGTCTCTAGGTCTTTCTTAAGAACACCTGACGGCTCTGCATTTAGTAGTTTTAGACCAGGAAACCAGGTATGTACGTCAGAATTGTACTTGAAGCAAGATTAAACAGATTACTGAATGAGGAGCTCATCTATGAATAAAACACACGAGGTTTTAATGTATAAGAAACACCCTATATAAGGCAATCTCCTATTTTCCCAAAAGATGCAAAAGGCTTTCTTTTTAAAAAGGTTTTTGCTATAGGCACGTGCACTCGCCAGAAAGACAGAGAGAGACAGAGAGACAGAAAGCAAGAAATCACCCCCCAGGGGGGATGGCCACGCTGCAATCCCCTCTCCTCCATTCTCCTCTCGGGATCTTGGGCACGCACACACATGCCTGGCGTGAGTTTAAGCTGCCAGATCCGGGACTCAAACCATAGTCAACTACATGGGAGTCTAGCGACACAGTCATTGTGCCAGCTGCAGGTCCCCCAAAGGCTTTTGGCCCACAGACATATCAATTCTCCTGGGTAGGACAAATTTGGCTTATTGCACTATGATTTTATTAGTGATTTACTGTCACACATTTTAAATCACATAGGAACATATATTAATTTCAATATGCTCTTTTCCACTCTTCTACTTAATAAAAACAATTTTATTTGAACCCTTCATCTGTACCTTCAACATAATTATTTTTTTCATTACAAAAACAGCTTGTTGATTTAGTTTTCCACCACATGTGATGTCCAGTTTTGCCCCAGCTGTCTGAGGTCCCTGTTAAATAATTTACAGTGCTGTCACTAAAGTTGTAATGGAGTCACCGACCGAGAGCTCGGGCAGCTAATTATTTTCCCTGTGGTGCTGCTTCCTCAGAGCTGTTTCCAAGGCTCACCTGCACAGTCATGAGGTCAGGCCCTGGAACGTTTGCTCGGCAGGGCCAACCTCCCACCTCCTCCTCTCCTGCTCCCCTGGGTGACCTCCCTAAGCATCCACACCAGCCCTGGCCGAGGTCAGTTAAGGCTTTCCAAACAGTGCCTTGTTGTTCAAAGACAGGAAATGAATGATCACCCGGGAACACAAGAGGCTTTGGGAGGATCCAAACAAGAGTGCCCCGCTCATGTGGGGGATCACCTGGGGGAAGCTCTGCCTTACTCTGAGGCATAGAAAAGAAAGTTGGGTGACAGCAGAACCTGGGAAGGGAGTGACCCTTGCAGCCAGTGGGGCCTGGCGTGGTGACTACGACGAGAAGGGCCCAGGCTCGGGGTGCTCGGCTACGCAGCTCCTCCGCTGCCTTAGCGCCAGCCTCGTCCAGATGGCACAGTTGCCCAGAGGCCTCAGACTTCATTTCTGGTTTGCAGCCATGTTCTGAGTAGATGAGATGGCTAGAACCACCCCACCCACCCTGTACGGGAGGCAGTCTTGGGCTCTTTCGCTGTAATGAGCATTATGGTGACTACAGATTCTGAGAACTGAAGCAAAGCACATGTGACTACAAGCTTTAAAAGAGGATCTTAGATTAGCTTTCAAATTATTCCACGTACCTCGTATTAGCTCATAAATATTCATGTCCATAAGTTCACATATTAGTGCAAGAGAACCAGATTTTCTGTCACTGAAGAAGAAAGCAGGTTTTTAACATGTTTTTTTCATGTCTTAATCAGAAAATATAATCAAATATTTAGTTTACTTGTAAGCATTTCTAGTAAACACAGGCATGCCCAAATCAGACAAAGACCGCAGCATAATTACTGCAACAGCCAAGGCTTTTATTTTAAATCAATGTTTCAGGTATAATGAAAGTACCAGTAAAAACTTATTTTAAGCAAAATTCCAGATGTTCTTTTTATAAAACAAGAGATATGTCTAGAAAATATAAAATTAACCATGAGCAGTGATAAAAAGGGGTGTTGAGTTCAGTAAGCAAAATGGTAACAGAAAAAAGAATGTATTTCATAATCCACGACTGCAAATTTGGTCTTTAACTTACCAAAATCACCGCAATGTGATTGGGATAAACTACGATGGCAAAACAAAAACCCAGAACCAGTCAAGGGAAAGAAAGACAAGTCACATCACGCCCATGTGATGCCGAGGCCTGATGCTGGGTGGGGACAGAGGCCCCCAAGGGTGAACCACCAGCCTGTCCCGTGTTCCCTCAGGCCCTGCAAGGAGAGAGAGCAGGGTCACCCCAGATCAGCTCTGTGTGCCTCCACTAGGCTGGAGGGGTCTGAGGCCACTCTGCTGTCACGAGGCCCATGTGAGACGCAGAGCGCTTTGTGAAGTGTGTGGGAGCACAGCACACACATGTAGTGCTGTGATTGTAATGTGCACACCACAATGTCTGGACTTCTAGAACACCGCCAGCCAAGAAGCACATGACTATGACAGCACGTTTCACTCTGAGTTCAAAACTGTAGGATCCTCTGACCAAAACCTGCACTTGAAACAGCAGAGGCGGGGTTTGGCTGACTTTGTGGGCTGGCTCCCTGCAGCCTGCAGCCTTCCTTGTCCTCATTGTCCCACCTCCTCCAAGGGGCAATGGGCGTGGCCACACAAATTCAAGAAGCTGGTGCCCTGGGCACCCAGCGCCCACTAACTCCCTGCACAGTGAAGTCCTACCACGGGCACAGAGCTGCCAAGGAGGAGGTTCTCAGCCCAGCAGGTACCACAGGGCAAGCTCTGCCTTCCTGGCAGTAGGTAAACACTACGGAAACTACTGTACAACTGGGGCAGAGATGAGAACCCCCTGAGTGCCATCAGTCCCAGTAGGAAAGGATTCAGGAGACTGTAGAGATGGCAACTGCCAGGCCCAGTGAGAACGCATGACTTTTGGCTTGTTCTCAGGAGGGGTCACAACTCACATCCAGGCCTCGAGGCTGAGGGAACTGTGGGACACACCAGTGACTGACATGCATTGCGATGTGGAGTCACGTGAGGGCGTGCCCACATTAGGGATCAGCATCCTCTGTCCAGTGGAAATGTGACATCAGAGGAAATGAAAATCATTACTCTCTGAGCTACAAAGCAAATATTTAAAATGTCTATAGCGGTTTTCTGCCTTAAGAAGATATTTATCATTACTGCCAAATTTAGAGAATTTTTCAAGCTCCAAATATACTTACAAAACCACTTCGTGCAACGTAAGAATGTTTGGGTGCGGGTTCAGGCGCCGCAGTGCTTGTACCTCTCGGAGACTGTTCACTTGCTCAATACTATTATGTAGGTAAGAACAGACAGCCAGTTTACACTTGGGTCAGCAATTTATTACCCACAACTGCCATTTTAAAATTCACATATATTTCAAGCAAGTTAGTCAGGTTTGATTCCTTCATTAAAAATTAAAGCCAAGCATACCTCATTTCTGCATTATCTTATAAAAATCCAAGCTCTTGGAGCCTAGGAAATATACTAGTATCTTTCCCTTCTAAGGTTTTACAAAAGCTCTTTTGTAGTTTCTTTTCAATGTTAATAAAGACGGAGCTGGTAGTGTGGCATGAGAGTCAAAAGCGCTGGACTCCCACATGGCTGACTGTGGCTGGAGTCCCAGACCTAGTGGCTTGCTCTCTCCTTTTCTCTTTCTCTGGTCAAAACTGAAACATAATGGGGGTCAGCAGATAGCATGCTGGTTGGGGTGCTGTACTCCCACATGGCTGACCACGGTTCAAGACCGGAATTGTGAGGCTTGCTTTCGCACTTTCCCTCTCTTTTTCTCTCTCCCTCTCTCTCTCTCTCTCTCTGTGTGTGTGTGTGTGTGTGTGTGTCTGTCTGTCTGTCTGTCTGTCTGTCTGGTCAAAGAGGCATAAATGAATGAATAAATAAAATTAAAAGAAATAATTATTTTTTAAAAATTGAAACAATAATAAATTTTAAAATAAATGTTAATAAACATAGAAATAAATGTTTATATTTTTATTAAATTTACCAGTAAGATTAATAATTAGGACTAAGAGGCCAGTAGGTTGTGTGGTGTTTAAGGTTCTGAGTTCTCACATGGCCAACTGCAGTTTGAGTCCCAGACCTGGCGGCTTGTGAATCACACAGGGCACCTGTGTGTGTGTGTGTGTGTGTGTGTGTGTGTGTGTGTGTGTGTGTGTGTGCCCAAAAATCCCAGGAGGAAACTGAAGAAGAAGGGATCTTGCCGTGGCCATCAACCCTGGGGGGTGACTTCTCACTTTCTCTCTCAATGTCTGTCTCTTTCTGGTGAGCACACACCCTTATGGCAAAAACCTTAAAAAAAATTTAAGACTAATAATTAAACCTATTAATCAATTTACAGGAAATAACCAACCGAACAACGTAGAAGCAATCTGATAAGCATTTCGTTCAGGCAGAGACCCCCACTCCTTGTCTGTAATGAGGGCTGAGCTTTTCTCCGGTCATTCACCTGCTGACAAGAGCTCTGGGGCAGGTCTGTCTTACTGCAGGCTCCTCTGTCAACACCCCTCCACCTGACGCAATGTGCGCTAAAGCCCTGCTGCAGCGAGTGCACTCAGCCCACAGCTGAGGCTGCTGTCACTGCCTTTGGACAGACCTCCTTCAGAGATATACCTCCCACTGGGGGAGCGTCCACAGGGCCACACCCAATTGAATGGGTCAGTCCACCAGGGACCTCCAACTGGGAGGCTCCAAAGGGAACTAATTGTAACGCTATTCTTTTGACTGGCAAAGTTCCTTCTACCTTCTAACACACAGTGGGAAGTTCGACATGCTGTCTGGTTATCAGAGTAGTTATACCCAACATTATCTTACTACAGTTGCCAATCAACATGGCTGAAAATACCTATAGCTGCCTGTGTATACATAGACCCATATACATACACTATGCATAGATGTATATATATTTTGAAATGTATTCCTTTTTATCTTCCATGAGCAAGAAACAGAGAGTGAGAAAGAGGGAGCAACAGCACCTCCAACAGAGTCTCATTGCTGCAATCTACCCTCGCTTAGCCCTGGGCTGTGAGCGCACAACTGGCGTACCCAAGGGAGGTGAGTACAGAACCTTCCCATGTGGTGGGACCAGCAGTTAGCGTAATGGCTGTCACTGGACTCCCATGTAGTCGACTGTGGTTCAAGTCCAGGACCTGGTGGCTTAAACTCACGCCGGGCATGTGTGCATGCATGCCCAAGATCCCAAGAGGAGATTGGAGGAGAAAGGATTGTGGCATGGCCATCCCCTCTGGGGCGGGGGGGGGAATGATTTCTCGCATTCTGTCTCTCTGTCTTTCTGGCGAGTGCATGCGCCCTATAGCAAAAACCTCTCAAAAAAAAGAACCTTCCCATGTGGGTCAGCCTCACAGGGCATTGCATTTTACCACGGCGCTACCATCACCCCCACATCCTGCTTTTATTTTACACTGTTCTCTTTATCATGGTAGAGTGTGTGTGCATGCACATGAGAGTGAGAAAAAAAGAGGAGCATCCTTCCCCAGGGTCTGACCACAGCATGATCCCCTTCTTCCAGTCCTCCAGCCCGTCAGATGCGGGCACTAGCACATATACGCTGGGTGTGCTTCAGGCTGACCTAGCCAGGGATTAAAATCCCGGTTATGTGGGCTCCAGCTTCTCCCGAGCAGTATATTACCACTGCGGCATGAAGAAAGCCTGGCCCCTATTTTTTTAGGTTTTCTTATTTATTTCCTGAGAGAGACGGGCCAACAACACATCCCCATGACAGGGTCTTGTCATGCCCAGTCTCCCCACTCCCAGCATTCCAGCCAGTCAGGATCACTAGCGTGCCTGGTCTGTTAGGGCAACCTGGGAACCCCAACTGTGGGCCTGCCCGCAAGGCTTCAGGATCATGTAATGGTGTCCTGCAACTGCACCACCGTGGCTGGGCCAATCTGGCTGAGTATTTTAACTCTCTCACATCAGACAACAACTGGAAGCCTGATACATGAGAACAGTCTATGGCTGGCACCATGATGCCGGGGTTGAGCACTGTGTGAAAGGAGCCAGCTCCCACGTGGCTGACCACAGTTGGAGTCCTGGCCCTGGCAACGTGGAAAACATGCCAGCCATGTGCATGCATGCCCAAAGTCCTGATGGGAGGCAGGAAAGAAGAGAGGATTGCAGTGTGACCAGGTCCCACTGGGGGGATGCGTTCCCTCTCTCCCTTCTCTCTTGCACTGCACACACATCCTCTGGTAATTAAAACAGAGAGACTAACCTGAAGACAGCATGGCCTGAACAGTGTTAGAATATTCTGACCTGGGAACCAGCAGTTAGCGCAATGGCTATGTCGCTGGACTCCCACGTAGTCGACCGTGGTTCGCGTCCCAGACCTGGTGGCTTAAAACTCACGCTGGGCGCGTGTGCGTGCGTGCCCAAGATCCCGAGAGGAGAATGGAGGAGAAGGGATTGCGGTGTGACTATCCCCCCTGGGGGGTGATTTCTCGCTTTCTATCTCTAATGTCTCTCTCTGTCTGTCTGGCGAGCGCATGCACCCTATAGCGGAAAACCTCTCAAAAAAAAAAAAAAAAGAGAGAAGAATATTCTGACCAGGGATCAGCAGGTGGTGTAGTGATTAAGGGTGCTGGACTTCCACATGGCCAACCATGGTTCGAGTCCCGGACCTGGTGGCTTGCTTTCTCACTTTCCCCCTCTGTCTCTCACTCTGCCCCTCTCTGGTCAAAATAAAACTAAATAAATAAAGTTAAATAAAATGATTCTTTTTAAAAAAAATCCTGACTGAAAGTGTTAGGCCCCTTCCTTATGACTATTCTGTTTCCTGCCCTGTGGGGTGTGGCCCTGTGGACGCTCCCCCAGTGGGAGGTACATCTCTGAAGGAGGTCTGTCCAAAGGCAGTGACAGCAGCCTCAGCTGTGGGCTGAGTGCACTCACTGCAGCAGGGCTTTAGCGCACATGGCATCAGGCAGAGGGGTGTTGACAGAGGAGCCTGCAGTAAGACAGACCTGCCCCAGAGCTCTTGTCAGCAGGTGAATGACCGGAGAAAAGCTCAGCCCTCATTACAGACAAGGAGTGGGGGTCTCTGTCTGAACGAAATGCTTATCAGAAAAGACCCAGGACACAGTGCCAAGGCCGAGCCTGAAGGCGACCAGGCAGAACAAGGCCACGAGTCCAGCAGGAGGTCAGAGGTACTGGGGCAAAGGGGCCAGGCAGCACTCAGGAGCCCAGGTCAGCAGCTGAGTACCAACTAGGAGGGGAGCCCTTTGGCACCCCAGTAACCAGTGCAGCAGGTCAGAGCCCTGTCTGCTGATCCCGTCTCCCTCTCCTCACTTAGTGCCCACCTGCCATCCACCCATACCAGCACCTGGCCACAGAACCAGTGCCTCCCCCAAATGCCTCGGAGAATGCGCCCCATGGAACATTATTTTTCAAGGAATGGCTTTGTGAGAAAATCTCATGCTCAGAGATCTTGAGGCCCAGACACAGGAGCATGAGCTGGACAGTGCTCATGGGCTGAGGCCACGTGGGAGGCTCAGGCTCAGCTCCCAGCCCACATGTAAAAAACAAGTCCAGGAGCGCGGATAGGCACGAGTGCTCCCACTGCCCGGGAGGCTGAGGCAGGAGGAGCACGACACAGTGACACCCTGTCTACACATGCACACGCTCATTACCCGCACACACAGCAGGCCCGCTCTCTAGCCCTCTGGCAGAGCCCAATTTACTGTTGATATTAAAAGCTCTCAAAAACCCTACAAAATAAACAAGACAGTTTACCCTTACTTAAACCAGCACCTCGGGACTTTTTGGCCTTAGCACCTTTTCTACATACTATCCCGTTATCGCTCTCCAGAACTAGGGGTCCGGAGAACACACCCTCCAGACCAGCCTTTGCCGACATGTTGGAAACTTGTTTTCCTCAGGGCAGAGGAGGTGAATAAAGACAGAGAGGAGGCAAAAGGAAGAAAAAAAACATGTGAAACATTTCTTCAGGGACGCTCATACAATCAATTAAGGGGCAGTTGTTGGTCCCTCTCCTGGGGCCTGACTGGGAAGAAGCCAGCCACCAAAGCTCTCATTTGTGGCTCACACCTGCAGGGTTCCTGACTCAAGATGAGACCTCCGAAGAAGCTCCACCACTCCACCTGCTGACCACCATGTCCATGACACTGTAGATCCGTGGGTCTCACATGGGGAGAACGCTGGCCCCAGGAGACATTTGATAATGTCTGGAGACAGCTTAGTTGTCACCAGTTGGGGCGCACCTGTGAGTGGAAGGAAGCCAGGGGTACCACTAACCACTCTA